CGAAATCAGTAATATAAACATTACAATGACTCCAAAGCTGTTCGGTTAAGGTAAAAAAGTTACTTAGTTCACCTTTAACTGCAGTGCAGTACATTGCTTTCTTATACACATTTTTAAAATGGTCTAGCTGAGGGGTCTTGAAAGATAAAATCGAGTCTGCAACTTCACCTTCATCTTCTTCATTTATGACAGGTGAAATTTGTATTTCTGGAAAATCTTGACCAGTTCTCATGGCCTGTGTTTGTCTCAGTCCTATCCGAGTCCTGCAGCTGCTTTGGTAGTGCATTACAGATTTCCTATTTCAATTTGGAAACAAGACGCAAGGACTTTAACCCCGTCATCTCTTGAAGTGCATCAATGGATTTCCAAGCTCTCATCCAGGAGATGTCCAAGTTTCTGAACACCATTTCCTCAGCAAACATCTCCTCACACTCACGGAGGACAACAGTCTAGTCTGGACCATTGGGTTGAAAAACAACGGTTCTTCTGGAGTCCAATGTCACCCATATCTCGCTTCACTCTAAAAACAGTTCTCCATGTCTGCAGCATTGACTTAGAAAAGGGTGGAAGCTCTGACAGGCTTGCTTCCTCGAGTTTCATTAAAAACAGGTGTCTATCAAATCCAAGTCCTCCCGCCCGCTTCAAAAACGCACTTGCAGTTTTGGCCCATACAACATCCTCTCTGCACAGCTTGAATCCCAAAAGCTCCTCACATCCACCAAGCCTCGACTGCCCTCTTGAACTGGTAAATAAAATGCAGCTGCACGGATCCAGTGCTGTCCACTCCAGAAAACATTACCAAATGTCCTTTGTATCATAGAAATAAGTTCTTCAGGAGGCTCCATAGTTATAGTCCAGTGCCACAACATCGATGCAGCGAGATTATTGACAACCAGAGCTTTCCCCTATAGGACAATTGTGGCAATAGCCATTTCGACAATATGGGGGGGAGAGAGAGGGGAGAGAGGGGAGAGAGAGAGAGAGAGAGAGAGAGAGAGAGAGAGAGAGAGAGAGAGAGAGAGAGAGAGAGAGAGAGAGAGAGAGAGAGAGAGAGAGAGAGAGAGAGAGAGAGAGAGAGAGAGAGAGAGAGAGAGAGAGAGAGAGAGAGAGAGAGAGACACATCTCAGACAGCGCTCGAACAACGAATTGATTCCTCTTTCCCGTTTCACGGACACAAATACCCGTCTAAACGCCCGTTTCGGAGTGTATTCTCTCGTTTATGTCATAAGTGAACAGTTGAGAAAGAAACAATGTTTGTCCGTTTTTTCAGTCCGTGCATTCGGTCTTAAGGTGACAGCACACATAATATTCCTACTGTTGTCTGTGTCATTAATATTAATAAAACAACAAAATACAGCTTTAACAAAGATGAAACTAAACTTAATTTCTACAGTGAACAACTAGTGTTATTTTACATTTAGGTTTAATTATTAATTTCTGTACCTGAATACCTGAAGTAACTTTGTTATTTAGTATTCATCTCTGCTTGTAATTTGTTTATTTGTTCTTATTTTATTACTGACTGTTCACTTGTTTTAAATAATGTGTGAACTTTATCAGTTAGGCTAGTAGTTTTTGATGTAGTATCGAAGAACTTCAAGTGAGCTTTAAGTAATAAATGAAAAGCAAAGTTACAGTTATACTTTTCATCACTGTTTTCTCCAGAGCGGCTATAAATATATATATATACACTCACCTAAAGGATTATTAAGAACACCATACTAATACTGTGTTTGACCCCCTTTCGCCTTCAGAACTGCCTTAATTCTACGTGGCATTGATTCAACAAGGTGCTGAAAGTATTCTTTAGAAATGTTGGCCCATATTGATAGGATAGCATCTTGCAGTTGATGGAGATTTGTGGGATGCACATCCAGGGCCGAAGCTCCCGTTCCACCACATCGCAAAGATGCTCTATTGGGTTGAGATCTGGTGACTGTGGGGGCCATTTTAGTACAGTGAACTCATTGTCATGTTCAAGAAACCAATTTGAAATGATTCGAGCTTTGTGACATGGTGCATTATCCTGCTGGAAGTAGCCATCAGAGGATGGGTACATGGTGGCCATAAAGGGATGGACATGGTCAGAAACAATGCTCAGGTAGGCGGTGGCATTTAAACGATGCCCAATTGGCACTAAGGGGCCTAAAGTGTGCCAAGAAAACATCCCCCACACCATTACACCACCACCACCAGCCTGCACAGTGGTAACAAGGCATGATGGATCCATGTTCTCATTCTGTTTACGCCAAATTCTGACTCTACCATCTGAATGTCTCAACAGAAATCGAGACTCATCAGACCAGACAACATTTTTCCAGTCTTCAACTGTCCAATTTTGGTGAGCTCTTGCAAATTGTAGCCTCTTTTTCCTATTTGTAGTGGAGATGAGTGGTACCCGGTGGAGTCTTCTGCTGTTGTAGCCCATCCGCCTCAAGGTTGTGCGTGTTGTGGCTTCACAAATGCTTTGCTGCATACCTCGGTTGTAACGAGTGGTTATTTCAGTCAAAGTTGCTCTTCTATCAGCTTGAATCAGTCGGCCCATTCTCCTCTGACCTCTAGCATCAACAAGGCATTTTCGCCCACAGGACTGCCGCATACTGGATGTTTTTCCCTTTTCACACCATTCTTTGTAAACCCTAGTAACTGAGCAGATTCTGAAATACTCAGACCGGCCCGTCTGGCACCAACAACCATGCCACGCTCAAAATTGCTTAAATCACCTTTCTTTCCCATTCTGACATTCAGTTTGTAGTTCAGGAGATTGTCTTGACCAGGACCACACCCCTAAATGCATTGAAGCAACTGCCATGTGATTGGTTGATTAAATAATTGCATTAATGAGAAATTGAACAGGTGTTCCTAATAATCCTTTAGGTGAGTGTATAGGTAAATGAATATATTCATTTATTTATATATATATATAAATAAATGAACTAAATTAATACCTTTTTTTACAACAAAAATGAACCATCACTGAACTTACTTAAGCTGGACTATGACGCTATTTTCTTCTAGATCTGCTGTACAGCAGAAACAAACTTTGTTGCATTATTTTCCTGTTATCTCTGTAAAGCTGCTTTGAAACAATCTGTATTGTAAAAGTGCTATATAAATAAAGGTGACTTGACTTTTTGATTCAAATTAGGCAAATCTACCTTTTATGTAACGGACTTAAAAAAAGAAAGAAAAGAAGATCTGACCAGTTTAGAAGAAAAAAATGTGATGACTACCGGTAACTTTTAAGTCTAACCCAAGCAGTTTATGCAACCGGCCACAGACTTAATGCTGTTTGCAATACAGATCAACAAGGACAGACAGAGTGATAGATGCGTGTAATGTAGAGAGCAGGCCGCAGGTGATAATGTCCTGATGTGTTCAATACCCATATGCCCATGAGCTCAAGCTGTCTCATCATACCTCTCTGTTCTCGTACACACAGAGCTGTCCATCAGCCTGAAATCTGCCCTACTTTCCCCCACGGACAGACACAAAGGCCAAACAGACGGATGTGTCTGGAGTCTGGCACCTTGTCAATACGGTGTCTTTACTCTGCCAGCGAGACCATCCGTATCCAAAGACCATCTGTGTCTCGCAGCACGACTGCCCTAACACACACTCTTCATGCTAAACGCTGCAATAAAGCACATCACGCAGACATGGCTTTTTTATATCCTCTATTCTCTTGGTCTCTTTCTCTCTCTCTCTCTCTCTCTCTCTCTCTCTCTGACTACTCCTCTCTGATCCCAGTCCGTAAAATCAGAGGTCCATGTCCATAACAAACAAGTCCCTGGGCAATCGTGCAGTCTCTCTCTCTCTCTCTCTCGCACCACCATCCACGAGTGTCACTGCGGAGTGTAAAACACATTCAGACTCCAACAAGTCCTCTGCGGAAGGGGTAGTAGTAGACAAAAATGAAAATTATGTCATCATTTACTCCTCATGTCATTTCAAAATCGGTTTTATTTTCTTTCTTCCGAAAACACAAAAGATGATGTTTAGCAGAAAGTCTGAGCTGCTCTTTTACATAGAATGAAAGTGGATGGTGTTTTATATTGCCAAACGCAAAAAAGGACAACAATATAAATCATATTCCCAGTCTTCTGAAGCCATATTATAGCTTTGTGTGCGGAATAGACTGAAAGTGACAGTATTTTGTTATAATTGAAGACTAAAAATGTAGTTATTTTTCCATAATTATTTCATAATGTATTTTGTGAAGTCAGAGTATGTTGTACATGTGCGCTGATGAGAGATATTTTGCTTAGAAGTGTGTGTGCAATGTAACACGTTCACTGAGCAGAGATGTTCCACTGATGATGGAAAGGAAAGTGTAAAAAAAAACGATGCAAATGCACCACTAATGTATACACCGAAGGATGGTTTCTTAATATGGAGAGTGGATTGTGCCATGTGTAAGCATGAGGTATACGTTCCATTTTAAACATGAGCAACATGTTTTGCTACCTTACAAGGAAGTTGTAACTAAGTCCCTCAGTGGTGTATATAAGCTCAATCCTTACTGTACTGACTCAGAGAAACATAGAGGTATGACGGGGTGAGAGGAAGGAGAAACACAGAGAAACCATTACAGCTGGCATGATGGGGTGAGAGGAGAGAGGACAGAGAAATCTGTAATGAAGACTACCTCGCCTGTAGGCTTATTCTTCTATGCCTATAACAAATGAGAGATCTCTTGGCAAAATAACTGGTGTTGCTTCCGTGATTCTCAAATCTACAATAATCTTACTCAGAAATCATATTTACATTTCAGGAGATCATTTTTGATACTCAGCAGTGTATTATTGTCCATATTGACATCCATTGGATGCTTATTCGCAAACAAAGCTGTTGTATGGCAACACTGTTTACAACAATCGAACGATATGAGATGAGTAAAATGACAGAATTTTAATTTTTGGTGAACGGTTCTTTAAAATGTGGGAGGGGATGTGTGCCTTAAAACTAGGTTCTTATGAGGAACAGATCCTATTACTTACATCAGCAAACTTGTGGTTCCTGAAATGCGATTTATTGCACTTCAACAGCTGCACAGCCAAATTACAATCCTGCCGATAGCGTTCCTGCATGAGGACAGACAATGGATACGAGAAAGTGTCAGGGAAACAGATATGAGACGCATCAAATAAAGAAAGTCATCAAAGTCAACTTTTTGGGAATGACACTTTCCTTAAAATGAACAGAAATTCTCAGTTATGAAAGACAGAGTATCTGTCAAAAGTTTGGAAACACCTGACTGAATGTATGTTTCACAAGATTGTTACAAATCTATTGAGCTAAACACACACACACACACACACACACACACGAGTTGGACTGGATAGAAGGAAAAAGAGCCAACAAGTGTGTCAATATAAGAGATTCTTCATTTAGCATTTTTTTCACTGTGTGATCAATGCTTTCATTTTAATATTTTGATGACTTCATTATTACGCGAACACAGCGGTTCTCAATATTTAAGACAACAATATTAAAGGCCTCTTAGCGTTAGTTTGGTTTTCAAAACTTATTATAATCTGTGGGCGCTCAACTATAACTAAAACACGAATTAAACTGAAAAAAAAAAATATTTATATATTCCAGATTTTGGAGCTTATTGTTCCTACTTTGAATTTACAAGACTCTTCCAGTTGTTTGTGATGAATTGGATAAGGATTATTTGATGAATAGAAAGTTCAAAAGAACACCATTTATCTGAAAAAGAAAGCTTTTGTAACATTATCACTACTGTTCAAAAGTTTGGGGTCAGTGAGAGTTTTTAAAAAAAAAGAAATTAAAGAATTGTATTCAGCAAAGATGCCTTAAATTGATCAAAAGTGTCAAAATATTATATTGCAAAAGCTTTCCATTTCAGATAAATGCTGTTTTGAACTTCCCATTCATCAAAGAATCCTGAAAATAAATTGTACACAACTGCTTTCCACATTGATGATAATAATAATAATAATAATAAATGTTTCCTGAGCAGCAAATCATCATATTAGAGTGATTTCTGAAGGATCATGTGACACTGAAGACTGGAGTAATGATGCTGAAAATACAGCTTTGATCACAGGAATAAATTACAGTTTACTATATATTCACATAGAATACAGTTATTTTAAATTGTAAAAATATTTCACAATATTATTGATTTTGCTGTATTTTGGATCAAATAAATGAAGCCTTGCTGAGCAGAAGAGACTTACATACAGCCACCACTGTATGTATGTATGTATATATATATATATATATATATATATACACACACACACGATTTGGACTGGATAGAAGCAAAAGCAGCCAACAAGTGTGTCTAGGCAAAGAAGCTTAAATATAAGATTCTTCATTTAGCATTTTTTTCACTGTGTGATCAATGCTTTCATTTCAATATTTTGATGACTTCATTATTACTCGAACACAGCGGTTCTCAATATTTAAGACAACAATATTAAAGGCCTCTTAGCGTTAGTTTGGTTTTCAAAACTTATTTTAATCTGTGGGCGCTCAACTATAACTAAAACACTCATTAAACTGATTTTTTTTTAACTAAACTTATTGTTTCTTCTTTTTACATGAATTTACATGACTCTTCCAGTTGTTTTTTGATTAATTGGATAATGATTTAAAAAAAATATTTGTGAATTTATCCACAATGAAGCTAGGCATAACTAGTAAAATAGATTCATATATAGATTGAAAAAGAATAAATATCAATATGTGAATAAAGATGACTTTTACAGGTCTTATGCCACCTCGTATATTATGGTTTTCAAAGACTATGGGAACAATGGTTTGTCGATTTCAAAGGAAACAACAAGTGAATCGAGGGGTCAATTAAAATAAGTTTCGCATTATTTTAAATAATATAAATTCATCTGAAGGATCCACTGAAAGTTTGCCGAGAACCACTTCTCTAACACGTATAGAGAAATAAATTAATATGAGTAGTTCTCTCCAAAAGCGTTCACTGAAAATGTGCAAGTATAACAAGGAAAATGGCAGTCAAAGTCGCAGTCTTCAGGATTTATAACTAAAAAAGGTTATTAAGGGGGAAAGAAGTTCTCCCGAGGAATGAGCTGTGATTGATGTGTGTATAAGGAGATGAAGCGCTGTTTAAACACCGCGAACAGACGGATATCAGTTTCTTCAGCGCTATAATTAGTTCCCCGTGGCAGCGTTTCACACATGGGGTGTAATAAAAGCCCATTTCAGAACTACTGTCCCTGCTTTGTTATTCCTCATGGAGTTACTATCTTAAAAACCCACTGTCTGCTAATTCACAGTCCGGAGTCAATTACTTGAATGCTAAGAGTGTTTATATAATTTGGGCTTTCCCATTCAACCAGTGCCATAGATGGTATTTAAAACAGGCAGTGTTTGATGTAAAAACGCGGTTCTAGTGTATAGTGGATGAGTGGTGGTGTTTATGTGCAGGAGACTCGCGTTCCCCAGTGAAGCTCCATGAGCCAGACATCTTTTCTGTAATCTTCAGTGAAAACTCAGCGCAGATCCTCCTCATGCAACTTTCAATTTTCAGCTCCAGTAGTTATCAATCCCAGCTCTGAAAACTCTAGCCTCAAACACAAACACACACAAAGCTCTGATACTTGCACGTACGTTCAGTTCCTCCAGCTTGTCGATAGTATTTTTGGCGTCCACGAGTTTATTTGTGAGCTCCACTATCTCTTGATCCATGGTTTTCTTGTCTCTTTCCACTTTACGGAGCTGCAAGGAGAAAAAGGACATTCGTGTAAACTTAAATGTAAAAGGTTTCGTGTGAGGTTAGACGTCTTTCTTATAAAACAGTGGTAACCAGTGGCCATTGTAGCCTTTTGATAAAGCAAAACAACTTTTCCTTCAGTCCTAATATCATTGCTGACACCGGCTGCAAAGAAAAAGTCCTCCAAAGAGCCCGGGAATGAGGCGCATCCCATGAGAAAACACAGACAAGGAGTCATAATCACTGTGCTGGATCTCATGGGAAATAAGCATCACAGTCTCTCGTCTCCTCTGAGTCTCCAATATTTCTGTCCAATTTTGGCTATCTTTGAAAAAACAACTTTTGCTTCCAAACACAAGCTAGTTTTTTTTTTCAATGTGAGTTGAAAAAAAAACAACGTTGAACAATTTTTGGAACTATGTCGGTAACCAAACAGTTGATGGACTCCATTGACTTTCATTTGGGTGAACTATCCCTTTAATGTTTATTTTTTTGTCTATATTGTGTATATATTAGGGGTGTAACGGTACACAGAAGTCACGGTTCGGTACGTACCTCGGTTTTGGGGTCACGGTTCGATACGAGTTCGGTAGGAAAAAGCAACAAATCCCCAATGCTAGGTTTCTTTTTTTTCTTTCAGGGGTAGTTTCTACAGTACAGCCTCCTTTAGACTTCAAAAACAACTTAAAATACTCCCTCATTTATGATAATAGCCTTAAGTAGCCTTAATGTTTTATGTACTTTTTGTCTTTTAACTGTTTTTAACCCTGTATATACTGTATATCTGTAATTGAATATTATGTATGGACATGATATGATATTACTTTTGCACAAGCAGATTTTAGAAAATGGTGATTTGCTATTTGCACAGCCTTAATGTTTTATGTCCTTTTGTTTTTTAACTGTCTTAACCCTGTACCTCTGTTCTGTCTTCTTGTAATCTGTTTGTTGCAATCTCTTTATATCCAAAACTAATTTCTCCTCGGGGAGAAAAAATAAAGATACTTTGACTTTAATAGAGATAAGAGTAGGACATGTAAAGGGTCGAAACTGTAAAGGGTCTATTTTTATTTGTGTACATTCAACAATAAAAACAAAATATTGTGCTTTTGTAAAATAAAGAAAAGAAACAGGATACTTTCTTCTGCTTTCTGGAGCGCGTCACAAAAATGAATGGAAACTGCGTATAGGCTACTAGTAAGCTCTTGCGTATCATCTGAACTCTTGTTTTGGGTTGGTCATAGATCGTCTCTTCGGCCCCGTCCACACTACTGCGTTTTCGTTTAAAAACGGAGACCTTTTGCTACGTTTGCACCTCCCGTCCACACTAAAACGGCAAAAACGGAGACCCAAAACGGAGAAGTTTAGAAACGCTGCCGACCCGTTTTTCGTTTTGATTCTCCGGAGGGCGTTTTAGTGTGGACGGGTCAAGACGGAGGACTTTAGAAACGATGACGTAGTAGAGGCTCACGCTCGGCTCTATGATTGGGTGTCATCAGTCATGGCGTATATCTTTGCTAACAGCTGTTGTACAAGTAAATTCTGCATTTTACAACGCTATAACTGCCTACATGCCCCGGAGTCAAGCTATTATTCCAGCGATCTGTGACAATTCCCGTGTGCAGCGGCGGCGTTGACCGTACATGGAGCGTCGGTTTGGGGTTAACCCAGAGCATGGTGGGATCATTTGATCAATGAAGTTGTGTTTACACCGGCACCCGCATGCCCAGTGTTAGTGAATGGTCATGTGATCCGCGTTTTCAGTCGTTTTAATGTAGACGGAGATCAATTCTAATACGCAGCTAAAACGCTGGTGTGGACGGAGATCGTCTTCGTTTTAATTATCCGTTTCTAAACTAAAACGCAGTAGTGTGGATGGGGCCTTATTCTGCTCTTTTTCCTGCTGCGGCTGTTAGCAAACACTGTTGCATGACCGCGCGCCCTTCTGGATTGCAGTACGAATCGCTTGTGACTCACTGTATTCGTCGTCTGAATGTATGCACCGATACACACCTAGTATATAACAGTTAGTATAAAATAACAAATATGATTGTTATTCACTGCTAATCTTCAGTTTTCATTGGACTGGACTGGATCATTAATGTGTTGCCGTTTATAAATGCACAATAAAGAGCTTTTTTTTGTGTAAAACCTAGAGCTGGGCATCGATTAATCGCATCCAAAATAATGGTTTGTGTTTACATAATATACGTGTGTGTACTGTGTATAATAATTTTGTATATATAAATACACACACATGCATGTGTATATATTTATGAAAAATGTATAATATTTATACAGTATATACATGCAAATATTTCTTAAATATATACATGCATATGTGTGTATTTATATATACAAAATAATTATACACAGTGCACACACATACAGTATATTATGTATACACAAACCTTTATTTTGGATGTGATTAATCATTGCCCAGCACTAGTAAAATCACATCATATTCCTTCAGGTGACTTGGAACTTGGTGTACACGTCATATGCAATATTTTGATGGTCACTATGAGCTGTTGTTGAAGATTATTTTCGTTTCACGGTAAGAATAACATCATCGAGCTTGCAGGAACAAGAACGTCCTTTTAACATGCACCAGACAGCCGGTGAAGAGACTTCTGGAGACTGAAGGAGAACACCGTGACAATGTACATTTACACACCGAAAACGTCTTCTGTCTGACTTGAGCGTTCGTCTAACTGTGGGATGAGTGTTGTCTGAGGACACTACACTCCTGCTGTGCTAAAACGACTGAACAAAAGCTCTTCAGAGAACTTTAAAGAGGACATAGTTAGCAGAAGCTTCGCTACTTAAGACACACTTCAGTCCTGTCGGCTCTTGCTTTAAGTGGAGACAGAGACACTGAGAAAAAGTAGAGAAACTGTGACCCTTAATCGGGAGCTCGGCATGTTCATAACAAAGCAATTATCTTTATAGTCACCATTTGACGGAAGCGGACAATGTGGACCAATAAAAGAGAGTTGAGGGAAGCCTTTCAGCGTGATGCAGTCCACGAGTAACTAAGGCAATGAAACAGCCAGTCTAAAGCACAGCACGTCTGACAGACTAACAGGAGACAGGGACACAAAGTGTTTTATCAGTTTAACAGCTGCATTCACACCATCCAAAGCTGTAGTCAAGTGGTCAAAATGCCAACAAAGTGTCAACAGAGAGCTTCAGGTTTTTATAACTGACTCAGAAAACATGGAAATATATATGCGTGTTTAATATAATATGCATGTTTGGTACAGCCTAAGCAAAGACATGGATTACTTCCAATTTATTTTGAATCATAATGTTATTTTGACAAACATAGCTGCAAAATTCAGAGAATATTGCATTATATATAGGAATATTGTTAAATAATAGTAAGGAAGATTTTCAGCTGACAGCCCATGTATGTGAGCAAACAAAGGATCCAAAAGTAAAAATCCCATTCATTTTCTCCATACAGAAATCACATTTTAGCTGTAAATGTTTCAAGACGAGAACAATTATAAAAATCATGTTTAATTACTAAACGTGATTAGTACTACACTACACATCCTAAAGATTACAAAAAAAAATCTGAAAATAAATAAATAAATCATAGCACATTTTTTAATAAATTAAGGTTTTATGAATTTAATTGATTTAATTGATTGATACAATTTAATTAAACCATTAAATTATTAATTCAATTATTCAGAATCCAGAACATTTTATAATCTGAAAACACACAATTTTTAAAAAAAATAAATAAAACGGATTTCATAGGTCACTAAAAATTGTTGTTAAACTGTATGAGTTTGATTATTTCAAATTACGCCTTTTGATTACTAAAATTAAAAAGGAATCCAGAAAAATTTCAATGAAAAAAATTTCAATAAATAAATCAAATAAAACGGAATCTGGAAAAAATCAAACCGATTTAGGATTATTTATAGGATGAGTGGTTCAATCAGTTCAGTGTCTCTTTTTCTGCCACTATTTATTTTATTTTATTTTTCACAAAAAGCTGTGATTCAGTTAGGAGCCGGATGGTTTGGTCGAATCCTACAATTTGTTACTGTTTCTTTAAATGGCTGAGGAGAAAACGAACAGGAAAAACACTTCCGGTGTCCACAAGGTGTGCACAATATTGTTTGCTGTCACAAACAGCCTTTCCATCCGGCTTCAAAACATTATTTGTAATGCACTGATGTTTTAGCATATTTTGCAGCTTTTCTTACAGTGTTCTCCAAGTTGTGCTGTGCATTTTAACCACTGAGTTAAACATTTGGACTGCTGCATGTATCCCAGAATCCCCCTGCCCACATGCACATGGCCACATCTACTGCAGGGAGAAAGGAGAGGACACAGGAAAGAGATGCAATGAGTCATGGGAATGAGAACAGGGACAGACAGAAGGAAATGGATAAATAGAAAGAATGAGAACGCAACTGCATAGACCCAAGTTTGACTGATGGCAGCCTGATGATGAAGATGATGAAGATGATGAAGATGGTGGTGGTGAAATACCCAAGTCACAAGGCAGCATGAGGGGAGAGGAAAGGAGGAAAGAAAGGAAGAGAAAGATTTAATATTGTGTTTATTCTTGTATTGTTATTAATAACCTGTATGTCTGCAAATATAAGATGGTGTGCAAATGGGAGAAAGACAAGTACAGACAAGAAAAAAGGAAAAAGATAGAAATTATCCATGTGAAAGACACATTATATACGCACACTAAATCACCACGCTGTCATCAGTTATACATTTTTATCCTGTAATTGAAATAAAGCTAAAATAAAACATAATAAAATATATTAGAAGGAAATGTAACTTCAAATAGAGAGATATCGCCTTGCCATCTAAATAAAATAAGTCAAAGTGCTAAAAGTATTACTACTACTAACTAAAACTGAAATAAAAATAAATTAAAGCTAAATAGAAATATTAAAAAACGGTAATAGTAGGTTTCATATGTTAACATTAGATAACACAAACAAACATCGAAAACTACTTGTAAAGGATTTATTAATCTTAGTTAATGAACATAACATTTACGAACACGTTAAAATCAAAAGTTGTATCTGTTAATATTATTTACTAGACTTGAGCTAACATGAACAATTGTATTTTTATTAACTAACATTAACAAAGATCAATAATACTGTATCAAATATATTGCTTATTGTCAGTTAATGCATTAACAAAAGCTAATAAAAATAACAAAAGTACATAAAATTAGTAAAACTTAAATGAAAACTTTATATACTTTATTTATATATATACATATATAGCCTATTATTACGTGTGTGTGTGTGTGTGTGTGTGTGTATATATATATATATATATATACACACACACATACATACACACACATATATACATACACTCACCGGCCACTTTATTAGGTACACCTGTCCAACTGCTCGTTAACACTTAATTTCTAAGCAGCCAATCACATGGCGGCAACTCAGTGCATTTAGGCATGTAGACATGGTCAAGACAATCTCCTGCAGTTCAAACCGAGCATCAGTATGGGGAAGAAAGGTGATTTGAGTGACTTTGAACGTGGCATGATTGTTGGTGCCAGAAGGGCTGGTCTGAGTATTTCAGAAACTGCTAATCTACTGGGATTTTCACGCACAACCATCTCTAGGGTTTACAGAGAATGGTCCGAAAAAGAAAAAACATCCAGTGAGCGGCAGTTCTGTGGGCGGAAATGCCTTGTTGATGCCAGAGGTCAGAGGAGAATGGCCAGACTGGTTCGAGCTGATAGAAGGGCAACAGTGACTGAAATAACCACTCGTTACAACCGAGGTATGCAGCAAAGCATTTGTGAAGCCACAACACGCACAACCTTGAGGCGGATGGGCTACAACAGCAGAAGACTCCACCGGGTACCACTCATCTCCACTACAAATAGGAAAAAGAGGCTACAATTTGCAAGAGCTCACCAAAATTGAACAGTTGAAGACTGGAAAAATGTTGCCTGGTCTGATGAGTCTCGATTTCTGTTGAGACATTCAGATGTTAGAGTCAGAATTTGGCGTAAACAGAATGAGAACATGGAACCATCATGCCTTGTTACCACTGTGCAGGCTGGTGGTGGTGGTGTAATGGTGTGGGGGATGTTTTCCTGGCACACTTTAGGCCCCTTAGTGCCAATTGGGCATCGTTTAAATGCCACGGCCTACCTGAGCATTGTTTCTGACCATGTCCATCCCTTTATGGCCACCATGTACCCATCCTCTGATGGCTACTTCCACCATGTCACAAAGCTCTAATCATTTCAAATTGGTTTCTTGAACATGACAATGAGTTCACTGTACTAAAATGGCCTCCACAGTCACCAGATCTCAACCCAATAGAGCATCTTTGGGATGTGGTGGAACGGGAGATTCGCATCATGGATGTGCAGCCGACAAATCTGCGGCAACTGTGTGATGCCATCATGTCAATATGGACCAAACTCCCTGAGGAATGCTTCCAGCACCTTGTTGAATCTATGCCACGAAGAATTGAGGCAGTTCTGAAGGCAAAAGGGGGTCCAACCCGTTACTAGCATGGGGTACCTAGTAAAGTGGTCGGTGAGTGTATATGCATGTATATAGAGATATATATGTGTATGTATGTATATATATATAAGTGGTATATATATATATATATATATAAGGGCTGTCAAATGATTAATCGTGATTAATCACATCCAAAATAAAAGTTTTTTTACATAATATATGTGGGTGCACTGTGTATAATTATTTTATATATATAAATACACACAAACATGCTTGTATATAATTAAGAAATATTTTCATGTATATACTGTATATTGATTTATATATAATTTATATTATATATAAATATTTTATATATAAATAATATTTTTTTCTTAAATATACATGCATGAGTGTGTATTTATATATATACAAAATAATTATACACAGTGCACTCACATATATTATGTAAAAAAAACTTTTATTTTGGATGTGATTAATCGTGATTAATCATTTGACAGCCCTAATATATATATATATATATATATATATATATACACACACACACACACACATACATATATATATAAATATAAATAACCACTTCAGCTGAGACAATATTCACAATGTAGAAGAACAAAAACAAAATGTGCACTTCAATGCAAACAAAAGTTCAATCATAGTAAAAATTCTTTTCGAGCATTGAATAAACCAATCAGCAACCAAGAGAAGATCTATTTGATAATGCTCTTTCTGAAATTATATATATATATCTGTATGTGGAGGGACGAGCTGATGTCCTGAGAGCACCTGTGCGGAGGAATGCCGAGGTGGAACAGGTCGGCTGGGATAATCCCGAGAGATTACGGAGCAGAACACCACCTGTTCCACCTGTGATTGACAACGCTTTATGCAGAGCTCATGGATGCGAGATCTCACCATGCAGAACGAAGGAAATGAAAATAAATCATCGTCAGCTAATGCTGTCCTCACACACACACACGAGTCATCAGACGTGATTAAGAGCGAGCGCCTCATTCGCCACTCTTCCAGTCGTGCTAAATTACTCTAGTCTAGAGATCATTGAGAGATCAAAGATTCCTAAAATAACTTATTATAGATGCATGTTTGATTAAACTTTCATTTGAGCGAAACTGGAATAGGGCAGAGTCGAGGGGAAATTTAGATTCATAATGGCTTAAATAAAACATGAAATCCAACAGCAGTTTCCAAAGATATTTTAATAAATGCATCTCACCGAACACATGACGCACTCTTTCTGAGATGCACAATCACATTTCAATAATCTTTATATCGCATTCATCCTAATTGAATCACATTGTCGGACGACGACTGCAGTTTATGACGGTTATTATGATGTATTAGAAGATCCAGTGGGAATTGTTTTATAGTCTATGAAGGGAAAGAGGCTTAGGGACAAATTTGTACATTTATTCAATCTTTAGCTTTTGATGTTATTCATTTCTCTCTCTCTCGATTGTTCTCTGAAAATGACTCTGTCTTTGTCTGTGTTTGGTAGAGCTTTAAAGCACAGAACATTTTCACCCAAACAAAGCTTTTATAGGAAATAAATCATGCAAAACACGCAGAGTTCTGTCTGCAACCAAGATGCCTGATCCATAAATAAATTGTACATTTAACAGCAATGCTTGAAAATCTTTAATCCACTTAAAAGAATAGTCAATCGAAAAATCTAATTTCCGTTTTTTTTGTACATTTTTTGTACATTTAAGGTGAATTTAAAAATAATCGGTATATGAAAAAGTATTATGCACTTCAAATAAAGGTTTTTATTTGAAATATACAGTTCCACGAAGAACCTTTACCATCCATAGAAGCTTTCCATTGCACAAAGGGTTCTTTATAGTGGAAAAATGTTCTTCACACTACGAAATATGGTTCTCTTAAGAACTGTTCACTGAAAGGTTCGTTGGGGAACCATAAATGTTTCTTCTATGACATTGCAGTGAAACCCCCTGTTAGAGCCCTTATTTTTAAAGGGTTATTTCACCCAAAAATTCTGCCATTAATAACTCACCCTCATGTCGTTCCAAACCCGTAACACTAAATTCAATCTGTTCATTATATAAAGTGTTTGTGTCTCTTCAGAAAATTTGGTCTAAACCGCTCAATTCATATGGATTAGTTTTACGATCTCTTTATGAACTTTTTAATGCGTTAAAGTGGTAGTTGCGTATTATGGAGGAACAGAAAGCTCTCAGATTCCATCAAAAATATCTTCATTTGTGTTCCGAAGATGAATGGAAGTCTTGGAACGACAAGTGTGAGTAATTAATGACAGCATTTTCATTTTTGGGTGCAATATTCTAGCCTGGATGCCAGCCCGAACCCCGCCCACAGCATTTTTTGGTCGGGAAGTTCGGTCTGGACTCGATCCATTGAGGAGTAATTATGATCGGTTCAGAATTAGTCGGGCCAATCAAATTGCCAGGGCGGGCTTTATACGATGATGGACAGATGATCTGCAGTTACGTAATCATCGCGTTATCAAAGAGCGCTTGGGTTGAACTGGTTTCCCTCAGAGATGACTGCAGCTGGAGAACTGAGATGTATAGATCCCGCTATCGCGTCTGTTGTAAAAGAAATCGACAGCGCATTCATTTTAAAAGACGAACAGAGAACTGTAATCAAGGCATTTGTCGATCGGAAAGATGTGTTTGCCGTCCTTCCTACGGGATTCGGCAAAAGTTTATTTTATCAGCTGGCTCCGATGGTCGCTAAGAAGATGGGACGCAATGAAAACCCTGTGGCCGGTGTGGTTTCTCCTTTGGTCGCACTCATGGAGGACCAAGTAAAAGAAGCAACACTCAGTATTTTACTACTTCTTCCAGCGTGTATTTGAGTTCTGTGGACAATTTGCGTAGCTCATAAAAAAACACTTACTGCGTTGCTCTGATTGGTTGTAGGTCTATCCAATTGAGTGCAGAGTTTTTTTTTTCCTGGTTCGGTTAAGACACGCCTCATAATCAAAGCCCAATGGAGCAGTATCAGACTCACATTCTGACTAGAATATGAGTATGACGAAGTCAGGCTAGCAATATTCCATAAAAAATAAGAATTGTCACTTGCACTGCAATGAAATGAAAGCAGTGGGAAGAAACAAGGCCAGTGTCTGTGATCATCCATGGCAGGATTATTTGCCTATCTCAGCTCCTCTATGAAAGCACGATGCAAATAGAACATTCAGAAAGAGTTAAAAGTGAGTCAGATTTGGCGAGTAAACAAAACTCACAGTGGGCTTGTAGCAGGACTATGGGATGGATATAGCATCAAAATGATTAGCAACTGCAATACACACAAAACTAATTGTGTTTGCACGATTGAATCATTTTGATACTATATTCATCCCATACAGGACTGCAACAATTTAAATCACAATGCAAGAATTATGGTGTTTTTATCTCGAGAGCGAATCGAAGCAACACAATCACTGATGCTTGTTTTCCAACAACAGTTTTCCCAGTGGAAAATGAACTTCCAGCATGCATGAGTGGAATGAGGAATACTGTTACATGTTTGTTAGTCCCTGGAGAATGAAGCAAAGTAAAAGGTTCCTCAATTATGGTTCATAATACTTGTGACAAATTGACTGAGCGTGGCGTCATTAGGGCACTCGAAACAATTAAATGGCAATTAAAGACATCAGTGTTTAAGATTTGCAAAGGGGAAGTGAAGTGTAAAGGTTACCAGGGCGTGAAGTTTCTCCTCCAGGTCTTGGTTGGCTCTCTGAGACGCCGTGTAGCTGTTCTGCAGTCTGTAGGGGGGACACAAAACAAGTGTGTGTCACTGTCAGGGTATAAAGCTATATTCTGATGTTATATGATATATCCTGGCATGGTGTGGGATTGATATGGATATGTGGGTATTGACATGGAAGTTCACAGGAAACTGTACGAGATTTCTCTGCCGTGCTGGGAAACGTTACCGCATGTCGTAACACACACGAGATCGCGTTACATCTCTCCGGTGTACACTAGAGCTCGTCTCAGCTGAAGGCAAGCCGAAGAAAACATTCACAAGTTATTGCAATAATAAGTCCTCATATTTCAACACAGAGTTGTAAGAGAGTGTGTCTGATGTTGAAGTCGTCAAATCCTCAAGTGGTCAGAAGAGGAAAAGGAGAAGCACTTAAAAGACATTTTCATCACAAAAAGCCATTAAGCTCATCCTCTGTGCAAGTGTTTCGAACCAAAAAGTGGCAGATTTTGTGTTGCATGAAATATATTGCAAATAAAAAGACAAGGCATTATTTTTTTCATTACAGTACTTCCAACCCATATACATCAGTATCTGGTATAGAACGAACGCCAAAATGTATGTTTGTTTTACCTCACACACTTATGAATGTGCATATAGGGGCGTAACGGTACTCAGAAGTCACGGTTCAGTATGTACGTCGGTTTTGGGGTCACGGTTCGATAAGAGTGGACTTCCACGACACAAATCAGCACAATGCCAAACGATTTTGTCTCTTCATAATAGCGGAAACAACTTAAAATACTCTGCCATTTATGGTTATACAGATAAGAGTATTTAAAGAGTAATTATTAGAAATTGTAAAGGGTCTATTTTTATTTGTGTACACTCACTATAAAAACAAAGGTCACACTTCAGATTAGTCTCCAATTCTCACTATTAACTACGAGTATTAATAGTTAGTAAGGTAGTTGTTAAGTTTTGTTAAGATATTGGGTAGGATTCAGGGATGTAGAATAAGGCATTAATATGTGCTGTATAAGTACTAAAAAACAGCCAATATACTAGTAATATGCATGCTAATAAACAACTAGTTAATAGTGAGAATTGGACCCTAAACAAAACTTTGTGCTTTTATAAAATAAAGAAAAGAAACAGGATACTTTCTTCTGCTTTCTGGAGCGCGTCACAAAAATGAATGGAAACTGCGTATAGGCTACTAGTAAGCTCTTGCGTATCATCTGAACTCTTGTTTTGGGTTGGTCATAGATCGTCTCTTCTTCTTCTGCTCTTTTTCCTGTTGCGGCTGTTAGCAAACACTGTTGCATGACCGCGCGCCCTTCTGGATTGCAGTATGAATCACTTGTGACTCACTGTATTTGTCGTCTGACTTTTTTTTTTGTTGGAACATGAAATGCTTAATGAAAAGGTCACAGCTCGACCTTCCGGTGAAACACTTCTCTCTGGTGATATTTGCTGATATGTGCCGCTTAAACCTTGCCCCTTTATTAAAATCACTGCAAGCTTGCATTTATTTTTGAGTGCAACGGCCACATTCCACACATACAATCCAATCAACTTCAACAACCAATGGATAGAAGAAAAAATGTAGGGTTGGGACTTGGTTAATCCATCACACTTGGACGTATGTCTCAATACAAAAGAAAAGAACCGTCGCTACTTCTGTTTCATCTCGACTTTAAAGATGCTTAAGCTGACAGCAGAAACTGTTCATGGTGCCCAAATTGGTCCCAAAGTGTGTATCGTTCAATTCTTAGTGAAATCAATACAACAGAGCTTTTTTTTTTTTTCATACTACTCATTTCACATTGTGCTTTTTGGATACTATATATAGTAGAGATGTCCACTTTTATGTGGAAACAAAATGGGATTTTTCACCCAAAATGGGTGTTTCTATTTCTAAAACTATCCTGACCACTCTTTTCCATATAACTGAAATGATTAGGCATTCTGATGTTATGCTACTACTTTTTTTACCCCATCGATTTGGAGCTCGGCAGACCCAACCCTTTTTCATTCTATGGAAAAGAGCAGCCAGGATATAAACTTATGATAAACTTATATAAACCTCCATAAACGTATGTTTTGTGCTTTAAAGCAGCACTAAGTAGGAATTCCGTTTTTGTCAAACAGCGACCCCTAGAGTCGCTGTGGAGCACTTGTACTGTCGTGAATAGCACTCACGCAGAGATGGCTCGCACTCACGGCCGGATCCCCTCCCCCTGTACACCGGTACCTGTTCAGTAGGATGGACGCTGTAACGAGTGGAAATAAGGTATGGCCCCTTTAAGAGCTGCGCGCGCCCTGTTTAACTGTCGGCAGTCTGTATTGTATGTGCGCCTCGAACACTACATGTATACGGCGCCGGGTTATTTCTGTTAGATGCTCATTTTATCAGATCTGTTTTTTGCCGTAAAGCAATTCGTTACCTCGCGAGACCTGATATCACGCGATACTTCCTAACACTGAGGAAGTAACACCCGCCGGCCCAAAGTTGCAAGGGTGGTTTTGCGGCTCACAGGCACCAGGGGGGTGCGAGACGACCACCATTCAACACGAAATCAGTAATATAAACATTACAATGACTCCAAAGCTGTTCGGTTAAGGTAAAAAAGTTACTTAGTTCACCTTTAAGGAAGAGAGAAAGTTTTATATGAATCATTTACACTATTTTTTTCAAAGGTTAAGGGGTATTAAAGACCAAAGCTCCAAGAAATGAGCGGTGGGCTACAGGGGTTATGTTAATACCTTTTGATATTATATCTTCATTGAAAAAACACAAGGCTTATTAGCACAAGGCTCAAAGGCTTCTGTTCATAAAACTTTTTGTAGGAAACATCAATTCAAACACAAAATTTATGCTTACAAAAGGTAATCTGACCTGCATGACACATTTTCTCCAAACTCTGCCTTTCAGTTTACAGCAGAAACCAAGGTCTCAATCCCTCTTTCCCTCTTATGGATCAATACAGTTTCACTGCCTGGCAGATCATAGGGGACTTTCACTGTCTCGCTTCATAACAATTAGAATTTAATCAATTCATTTTAGCAAGCTGTGGTGATTTGCCCTGAGCGCAGTCATAAACTCTGGCTGCAGACGGCCGGTGCTGATGAAATGCAAAATGTGCGCAATTACTGTTGCTTGATGACCGCTCTGAATCACAGAGGAGGGGAAGCTAAATAAATTTGGTAAAACAAACAAAATAAATGGGTAACTGAGTAAACAAACAAACATCTATAACAATACCCCTCAGAGCCCCTGGTGCAAATCGCCACAGCGCATGTGACAACGTTACAGCGTTAGATCAGAGATCGCATTCAAACGCCCATGCTGCAGAATCACGAACCAATTAGGCTATTATCTGTGGAGAGCTGGCATGCAGGGTTCGGATGTGGCAGGCGAGGAAATGGAGCAGCAAATGTGAGCACCGCACTTTTTTGATGGAAGGAATGCTGGGTAATTCAATCTCTCTGCCGTCTGAAAGCATATAAGCCGGAGATGCATCCTGATTGGAGATAAAGTGGCATGATTGCAGCCAAATTACACACCGACTCAATCACAAAGCACTGCACTCAGACCATCAGGGGCATATCAGGCCGATATGAGATTAAATAATCAGAATCTGCACTCAGACCTGCTGATCTTAAACTGAACTGATAACAATGTGTCCGAACAAGGTGCGAAGTGACGTTTACTGTGAGTCTGCGACTAATACATTTTCGACTAATAATTTGGTCACACGTTATTTTGATAGTCCACTTTAGACATTCTACTAACTATAAGCAACTACATGTCAACTAACTCAGAGAATTAGTAGCCTGTCAGGGTTAGGGTTAGTTGAATAATTTGACATGTAGTTGCAAAGTTACCTATAGTTAGTAGAATGTCTGTTGAGGAGCATCAAAATAAAGAGTTAGCAGATAGTAAGCAGCCAATCTATAGTCTAAAGACTGATATCGTTGCTAACTTACTCATAGTTACTGTAGTAGAATGTCTAAAGTAGACTATTGAAGTGGACTAATGATCCAGATGTGCTTTGTCGGTTAGGAACCTGGGTGTGCTCTTTGATACCAATCTTTCATTTGAAGGTCTCGTGTCTAGTATCTGTAAAACCGCATTCTTCCATCTTAAAAATATATCTAAATTACATCATATGCTCTCAATGACAAATGCAGAACAATAAGTTAATGCGTTCATGACATCAAGGATAGATTATTGTAATGCTCTTATGGGTGGTTGCCCTGCACGCATAATAAACAAACTACAGCTGGTCCAAAACGCAGCAGCTCAAGTTCTTACTAGAACCAGGAAGTATGACCATAACAGCCCGGTTCAGTCAACACTGCATTGGCTCCCTATTAAACATCGTATACATTTTCAAATATCGCTTATTACTTACGAAGCACTAAATGGTTTAGCTCCCCAGTACTTGAGCGAGCTCTATAGTCCTTCACGTCTATTGCGATCTCAAAACTCGTTGTAGGTATTATCAACTTGCCAATCAAAATCGACTGCAGGTGGTAGATCCTTTTCCTATTTAGCAGCAAAACGTTGGAACAGTCTTCCTAACAGGCCGTATCCAGATCTGATGAAGGACCTGCGCCTGGACACGACAACAACGCAGTCCTGAAGTGTCAACTAGTCTCTCCCCTGTGAAGGCCTCCTTGCCTTCCCTTTACCTCTGTACAGATAAAACGTTGTCAAAATAACTCCGATTCACGTGGAAACTATAAAAAAAATTCTGTATTATGAATTTAAGGCCAGACAGGTAATTTGTTGAGGTCAATTTGTAAAGAAATACTGCACGCCTGCGCACATATATATTCAAACGCGCATACCTATAGACTAAACACGTAATACGCATGTGCAGGCCGTCTGTGTTTTCACAGATTCACGTTTTTGAAGTTTGTGTGGAGATGGTAACTTTTTTTTCACGTTTGCACCTTGGAACCTATTTCAAGGTTTGCGTTCTCGAGCCACCAGGCACTGTTGCCGTGCAAATGAGCGGGCCTGAGCGTTAAGGGTTTTCAGTTAGA